ACAAGTATGGCACTTGATTACACAAAAGCAAGAAAACACTTCACAAATAAAAGCAGTGGGCGCTTTGGTGTGTCATAAATTAAGGAAGTCACAGACGTTAGCATTTGCAGCAAATTCACCAAGATACTGTTTTGCAAGTCAGCTATAAAGCAATGGAATGGTTACATATGTTAAGGTCAGTGGTGCAACACAGGCAACAGAAAAGAAAACATGAATTACGCTGGTCGAACCAAGGATTTATATATGTGTGCACATATAAATCTGGATGTGGTGGAGTTTGTCCTTAACCACTGTGTATGGTGCCATTTAATTAGGTTGGTGCCAAAAACAGGTGGAAAAGTAAATGTCTTACAAACACCGTCAGGTCAGTAGAGCACATTTTTGGATAAGGTTCAGGCTCTCAAGGGTTCACCCCCAACTTTTTAGTGCAATTTTTGCATTTACTCTCTTCAAGTAGCCCACACAAGCAGAACAGCCCACAAGGAACTAAATACGTGTACACGTTTAACATGGATGATCTCCAATTTCGCATCTTACACAGAGTATAAACGTTACTAAAAAGTTGCATCAGTGCAATAATAAATAAGGGAACAAACGTGTCATCCACGCCTGCCATGAAGTCCTTTAAAAGACCAAAAGAAAGAAAACCAACCATCTGCCCACTCTTTGAAAAGTCATGACACGAATTAGGCGTGCGCAGCTGTCCATCATATGTCCATCATATGTTTGTTTGTACATGTTATCATACCCCCCTCATCCTCACCCTCCTCATCCTCACACATACGCAGAGTCACTGGACTGAGTGCGGCCGAAATTGGGCACACTCATCCTGGGCAAGTCCTTGTTCCGGATCTCATAGATGGACTTCCTCCGCGCCTGCACGCCGCGCACGGCCGTTTTGATTTTCCTCCAGCCCAGGTGATTGAGCTCGGCCAGGTTGAGCACCACGCAAAAGCCGCTGACCGCGAACATGAAGACCAGGAACACGGTCTTCTCCGTTGGCCTGGACACGTAGCACTCGACGTCTTTGATGCAGGGGTAGCGGTCGCACTCGTACACCGAGGGCACGTTGAATCCGTACAAGAAATACTGGCCCACCAAAAAGCCAATCTCCAGCGCGTTCCTGAACACCACCTGGATGATGTAAAACCGGGAGATGCCCTCCTGCCGCCGCAGTTTAGACTTTGTAGTTCTCATGGCCGAATTAGGGATCTCCTTGACCTCCAAGCAGTCCGGCTCGGCTTCTTTGGTGGAGTTCTCCGTGTTCTGGAGTACTCCGTTAACAATGGTGTTCTTTATCTTTTTGCTCTCGTCTCGCTTCAGCGAGTCTTGATCCTTATCCAGCGTCAGGTAGACCGTGGAGTAGCGCCGCTCCTTCTGCTTGGCCGACTGGTGCACCGAGTATGTGATGAAGCAGAGGCTCGGCGTGCACACCATGATGATCTGAAAGACCCAATATCTGATGTGTGAAATGGGGAACGCCTTGTCGTAGCATGCCTGGTTGCAGCCCGGTTGCAAGGTGTTACAAACAAACATGGTCTGCTCGTCATCATAGACGGTCTCTCCAACTATTGCTACGATTAGAATCCGGAAGATGACCACCACTGTTAGTAGGATCCTATGAAGAAGAAGGAAACAAAGCAGGGACACAAACAAACAACGTGAAAATACGTGTAAATATATGCGTAAAGCGGTGGTGGATGTGGAGCTGTGCGCTGCCGCGGCGGCTGAAGCGCAGAGTCCAATTCTTTTGTGCTGTCTTTTTTCAGGGAGCTGTCCAGTGCTGAAACTGGTCGCTCCTTCTTATTGTGTGGTTTGAATGTGTTGTGTGATTAAATGGCTGAAATGAAACGCAAGCAATCGGCGTTGCTTTCTTTCTTTTTCTTTTTTTTAAAAAATAAACCTGTGTGAGCTTCGTCAATGGAAAGAGGTGATAACACCGACTCTCGCTCGATCTCCTCCTGCCACCCCCCTGAGCGCACAACCACCACTCCAACTCACCAACATACATCAAATGGATATAAGTGGATGAATGGAAACATGAAATGACACATGGATTTCAGTGTGTGGTTTTTCTCTTTGCACTTTGCACTATCCCAGTTATCAACTGGTTTACTCAGCCGTCTCTTTTTAGGAGGAGGACAAAGAGGAAGGAATCTGTGGAACAAGAGGGGGAAAAAATCCACAACACAGACACGGAGGACTTGGCACCATGCTACAGAAGATCCCTGAGGCACAGGACAGAGACGGGGGAATGGGGACCATGCTAAAGACGATCCTGGAGGCTGCTGCGTTTCTTCGGTTGTTCTTGGTTTCTGTTGACCATCTTACCTTCCTATCATAGTAGAGTGCTGCTGGACAGCAGCCTCCAGGAGCCTCTCTAGTATAGTCCATTCCCCCATTTCTAAGCATCCGGAGAAGACGAGGGCACAACGGCACTCTGTTCAAATCCCTCCAAAAAAGAAAGCGCTCGTTATTTCCCGTCCAGCTTCTCTCTGCCTCTTGCTGTTGTCAGCCTCCAAAGCGTCCGAATGAGGCTAAAAAATGCATCCGTCACGGGATGCTGCCACCGTCCTCGTTTCTCTCCGTCTCTCTGCGCGCTATCTGGTTGGTTCGGCGCAGAGCGCGCAGCGCCAGTGAACGTCCTGCTGTGTGTGCCGAGCGCCCTCACGACGTGGCCACACTTTTCCTTGTCATGGGAGTCTGAAGGGCTGATTACTGTAAGCCCTCCTATTTTCGATCTTCAGATCAGGTTGATGGGCTGCGCGCTGCTTGTGGATGGAGGGAGGTTGGATTTAATGTCTTTCCAGCGATAATCCGCCTTTAAGTAGTCTCCCCCCACCCCTCCCATGCGTCACGTACGCGCAGACAGGTCGGTGGAGCGCAGCCAGGAGGACCAGGGCTTCTGATATTCGATATTTCAGTGTGCGTATTGCGTACGCCATTCAGTGGACACTGTTGTCGACACCTGTGTTGTAAGTGTTAAAACCAGTTTAAGGGTTTTATCGTGAGACTCAGACCCCTGACTTTATTCTTATACAGTCAACTCACTGAGCTTCAGACCTACATGTGCTCCACACACCAACACCCATCCCTCCTGCAGGGTTTATGGATGCACCGTGTCCCTGGTACAAGGGTCAAGGTGAATTCCCTGTGTTTTTAAGTCATCAGTAATTGAGGGATTTAAATAGCTTATATATTACAACCAGCTATTGTTCTGTGCATCTATAACCAAAGCTAATGGATATTATAGGGACTTATAACAGGACTCAGTCTTCATTTCTTGGAGCGGATAGCCTCGCATGCCCCGGGGTTTCCGTCACCATGTAGCAGCCTGCTGGCCCGGCTGGTAGAGCTGTTGTTTCCACCTCAGGCAAAGATGATGCTCTGGATACAGTGACAGAGTGAAAGTACCATCCGAGTTGCTAATCGCTTTACAAGGCAGCCTGCTCTCTCTCTCTCTCTCTCTCTCTCTCTCTCTCTCTCTCTCTCTCTCTCTCTCTC